CCTATGACATATCTGGTACTTTTCCCGTGAAAAGGTTCATGTCACTAACTATAATTTTATTTTTATCTATAATTTTAAAAGTTTGTTATTGGCGTAAAAAAAAGTACAAAAAAGTACCATTAAGGCTGACTGTCAGGGAGTATAATCATCGTCTTCGACCATTTTTACAAATATTTTAAAACGATCTCATCATTTCGTTTTATCCAAATTATCTTTGTTTACACACGTGGCACGTTACAAAAATTAACATGTCATTTTTTGCCTTTGACGTCACGATTCAACATGGCTGTAGTGGCTACTCAGGAGTCTTAAGGTTTGCTCTACTTGTGGTATAAAGTACGTCAGTCATACAAAGACTTCGAAATAGGACAGGTTTAAAAAGTACAGATATCGCTCTATATTCTAAAGTGGATATTGTTCTATATTCTAAAATGGTGTTAAAAAAATTTACATAATTTTTCCATTACTGTGATCAACATAAGTGTAACAATAAATTTTTTTCTTCTTACTTATAATATTATGAGAGTAGTTTTATATCTGTTAAGGCTATCGCGCCCTTAACCTTGTTTTGCTGGATTTGTAAATAATCGTAAAAGATGCTATTGAAATCTTTATTATAAGGACTTCGTTTCAAAATACAACTCGTTCTTCTCTACAACATAAACTAAAACTCTCTCAACGTAACGTAACGACACGCCGACTCTCACGCTTCTCTTAGGGATCCTATAATCAGAGTTTGGCCAAAGCGGACAAAAGATGGCGGATAGAAGGAGATAACAGATGCTTTCTTTCTCGTATTACGCATGTGCAGAAAGCGTGAAGAAAGCTGTCACAAAATAGGTTACGTATTGTGACAAATAAATATTCTATGATAAATAAATATAAATTATCTTTTTATGTATATTATGAAACTTTATGTCCACCTTGTTAAAAATCACTCTGAAGTTTTAATAATTTTCTTTATCCGGGATCTCTCGGAACAGTTCCTAACCTCTTTGAGACAAAGCTTTACTCGTCTGGGAGTCGATTGTGTATCTTGAAATGAGGTGAAAATTACAAAAATGA